CCCGGGGAGATGAGAATTTGTGACAGCCTACCTCCTCGAATCTCTTCCGTATTAAAAAAAAAAAAAAACACGCCGACTTCGTCTTCCGTGAAAATTATTTTTCGAATCAATTTCAAGTTGACAGCGCGCGTTGATGGCGCGGCGCGGAATTTAATACGAATCGGCAGCCGTATTGAATTGCAAATTTAATTAAACGTTTTTCTGTTTCCCAAAGAGACCGTCAGACGATCGATATCTGCTACAGCACCGTTCTCGTATAACGCGCCGATCGGTATTATTGCGCGCATTTAGTGACAAGCATTAAAAGGTCGTGTCAGTGTGTGACAGACTTTCGACGAACACTCCCTATAACGTCATTCAAAGTAGCGACAGTATTAATATATTGGCAATATTTCACACTGACTTTCGCTTTATGAGCGATTCCACACATCGGCTGTGTGAGATTCTTCCGTCGGCAAACAGCGTCGCTGATCGGCCGCATTTTTTTTTTTCAACCATTGACGACACGCCAGACGGACACATCACGTTACATTTATTTACGTTTTATTTAGTTATTTTTTATTTATTTATTTTTATCGTTCCCGTTAGATAGGGTGTTTCGAAATTGGACCGATGAACCAGATGTTTATAAAGGACACTGAAACATGCAATATTTGTTAATACACCCATGTCTACAAATGAGCCGTTTTTGCACTAGAATGAATTATTTACAACAGTTATTCGAAATATTGGCCATTTGTTTCAATACAGAGATATCAGCAATTTTTTTCATGGTCCTGGTTTCCGTTGCTGGCTTTTGTGTGATGAAAAAATTAATAAAAATTTGCTTTAGAAAACTGAAGATCGTTGGGAATTTCCAAGTAGGTAGAATTAGTATTGTTTGCCATTAACTTGCGGGCTCAGTATCACAGTTTTTTTTTTATTGTTTTTCCGATATTCATTTTCAAAGTGAAAATTTTTCCTTTAAATGAACTGGCTAATATATGCATCTTATTTATAACGAAATTACATATAAATGAGACTTCGAACAACTGCTGTAAATAATTCTGGCGTCAAAACGGTTAATTTACAGACATGGGTTTATAGAGAAAGAATACTTGATTTTGTATCCTGTATAAGCACCGGCACGGCCGGGCGGGAACGCCTCGTGTATTTAAAGGGCCACGATACATGCCGGACAATAAACATCGAGTGTCTGAGGGTCTCTCTCTTGGGTGAGCTATTTTTTGATCGGGATAAACACGCCGGAAGTATTCCCGGCACGGAGGACCGCTCCGGGCGAAATGAGAAGTCGGTAGCGAAGAAACGACGTACGAAGGAAGTCGAAGTGGGCGATGGAACCCAAGGTGCCCCGTTGTAAGCGAGGGGGTGGTTGGGGGGACGGGGGTGGGAGCAAGCACAGCAGGGGCAGCAGCCACGTGCGCGCGTCTACGGAACTGCGGGCGTCATCGATCGCGCGAATTAATCTAACTTCGGCTTCGAGCGTCGAAGCGGCAGCTCACGGCCGGCAAATTCGCTTTCAGGGCCCAAGGGAGACTTGGGACCGCAGGGCATGCCCGGACTCAACGGAACCGAAGGCGATCCCGGTATCCAAGGACCCCCCGGATTACCAGTAAGTAGAACGCAAATGAGAAATGTTTCTCCCACGAAATCCCCTGCTCCTCCTCGTGGGGCTGTAATTTCCCGGTGTAATATTCGGGGAAACGTTGCCCACCGTGTTTTTCCAAGGCGGCGAGAGACTTCAACGACCCTTTTATCGTCGGATTTTCGCGTAATACTACGACTAATATGTCTGTAAACTGCGCCGAAGCACGCGGTGGAGGGAAAAAGAATGCGGAGAAGATTTCCGGGAATTACGGGGGAGGGAGGAGGTGAATCGAGCGTGTTACAGAGAGTATATCGCCTGTTGTTCGCTGCTTCGTTTTTTGAGAAACTGGAGAAACTCCGATATTCCTCTCGTAAACTAATAATATAAAATAATATAAATTAATAATGTCGGAAACACACAATACCGCGTCAACGTGTTGCATTCGATGCAACCGACGAAAACCGTCATCCTGCGGTATTTTGGGTCTTTTTTCCTCGGGGGTTCCGGGGAAATTTACATTAACGAAAAACGCATCACACATCGGCCGTTTCGCGCGCTTCGAAGATCGGTAATTGAATATTTCTGTCGTCGCTCGGTTTTCCGGGACCGCAACGCCATATTGTGAACGTTGCTGAATTTAATTGTAGGATGTAAAGCGCATTATCGCGTAATATTCAGAGAGATTTCCCACAATTATAGAGAATGATGTAAATTCGCAACGAATATTATATGTCGCGTTAATCGAGAATGAGGTGCCTTTACTGTCCAGTTTATAATGCACCGACGTGTGTCATGATTAGAGCAATTTTCCCGCGAAGTCGTGCGGATAAAACACACATCTCGATTTTCCTGTTTTTACGACCAACATCCGCGCGAACGCGTCTAATTACTATTATTGTAAATACGATGAAACTTAAGGATGTAACGTGCATAACTCAAAATAATGAAAAAATTTAGAAAAAGTTACAAATCGATCTGCATTGCATTTAAAAGTGACGCCAACAGTTTGGCGATAATTCGGAGCCTGGATCAAAAGATGTTCCATTTTGAAGGAAGTTGAAATAAGTTTGATAAGAATGTAATGAAACTTGCACCGCGTATACGATGAAATACGGTCTAACTCGTTGCTCAGTGCGATTAGAACAAGTTTGATCATTCGAGAGCTGAGATATTTGTTACTAAAGTTGACACTTTTTGTAGTTCCTTGAGATTATTGTGCTATTTTTCATTTCTATTTTTAATACCTGCTAAAGGTAAGATTTTAATAAAAGGAAAACTGGCAAGATATTAGAAATTATAATATGCAGATGCTTCGCTAAAAATACAGCGCTAATGGGCGATACATCCTTAATTAATGCATACACGACGTCGCGAGAAAAATATGGCGACTTTCGCCGGAATCTATGACATATTACGTACGTCGCGCTTGTCTGTCTCTCTTCAGGGAATTTCCGGACCCAAAGGTGAAAAGGGCGAATACGGCGACATCGGTCCCCCGGGGCTTATGGGACCACCGGGTCTACCTGGGCCGCCGGTACGTAATAACTCTAACGCGGCTTCAATGGCCCACCTTATCATAAACATTCTATCTTACGCGATTCCGCCTGTCGACAGGGCTATCCTGGGCTGAAAGGCGAAAAGGGAGAAAAAGGCGAATCGGTGAGTGCGTTCGTTAACGTCTCGCGCGCGCTGCGTTCATCGCGAGTCGCATTCCGCCGCTTCGCAATGTGTGTGCGCGAGCGTCGACGCGATCGATTTATTCCTAGAAATTTTTTGCAACGCTCATTATTTGCATATCATTTGCATCTCCATCGTTTCGCGTTTTTATTACTTATTTTTTCTTCTGTTATTTTTTTCCCCCCCCTAAACATCGCGTGTCAGCGTATGCGCGCGATAACCGTGAGTCGTGGGGCGATCTCACGCGGAAACTGATTTTATTCGGCGTCGAATCAATTTAAGTATGGTTCCATTATCGAAGAATAATACGAGAGCGTATCTATTACGGACGACGACCGTCCGATATGAACGCAGCTGTCGCGTTCTCCGGTCGAGCCGCCGCCGCTGTGTACTCTTTCCCCGATTTCCATTGTACGCTCGTCGCGGCCAATCGGCACGATCGCGCGCGAGAGATAGTACGAAACTGCGGCTGCCAACGCAGGAGTGTGTTAAATGGGACCTGACGAGTAAATGAATTTATTTTCATGGTGGGACATCGACCTCCTCCCATCCACAGAAGTACAAAAAGCTCCGACGAAGACAGGTACGTGTCAGAGAGAGAGAGAGAGAGAGAGAGAACTCGCTCCGGCGATTTCCGCGCTCTTCGTCTGCGATCGCGCGAGAGAATCGCCCGATCGCGGAGGAACGCGCGAATATATTTCTTCGTGATATTAACGCGCAATTGAACGCGTGTCTGTTCGCAGGGAGACGGCACGTTCGAGGTGAACGCCGGGGAAATGGTAAGTCGTTGCGCGATTCGTCGATCCGACGAATCTATATACGCTGCATATCGTGCGCGCGTCAGTTGCACGCGGAAACGCGTTCGATGTGTTATTAAAAGGGAAAATAGGGGGAAAAAAAAGGGGGGAAAAGGGAAAATATTGAAATTCGGAAACAATATACCACTTCGCTTTCGTGCGTTTTCCGTTCGATCGGCTTTGAAATTTTCTCGCTCGTGCGCCACCGCGACACATCGACTTTACGCTTTGTTACGGGCTCGTTTCGCAGAGTTATGTAACCCTTCGCAGCGCGGCAGTTTATGGCGATTATAAAGCAATTGCCCGAAGGTACAAATATTGTCGAACGAAATCCGTTTTCATTTTTCTGATTTCACGCTGCATTCGTCTGAAATGGAATTTTTTATGGGAACAGGGTAGGCGGGGGGAGGGCAGAAAGAAAAAGCGCACACAACCGAGGGATACGAGGGTTATTGCGTCCGGAGTTTTCAGCGAGTGTTATTCGTTTAATTCCGAGATAGATCCTTGTTTTCGTTTCCGACCATCGCAGGTCGGAAGCGCTCCTTCTCTTTACCCATCTTGATAAGCAGACGGCGACTTTTTTTTCTCTCTCTCAACCGACGGTGTTATTCCAGATAATGGGACCGCCCGGACCTCCGGGACCCGCTGGTACCCCCGGCCTGCAAGGTCCGCCCGGAATCAAGGGTGACAGAGGACACGATGGCGCCAAGGGCGATCCTGTCAGTAACTATTATCCATCTATTGCGCCCACACGTATAGAATATATAGATAAAAGCGCATTCCCGAGCGCCCGCGTCGCGACAAAAGACGGATGTTGATTCCCCCCTCGGGGCTGTAAACCGTTTTGAATAACGATGAATCGATCTCTCTCTCTCTCGCGTTCGGTTGCGCGTGTCGTCGCCGCATCTTTAAGCGCAAGCGTTACAGCAAAGTTGCTTTTGTCCGAACGTATTCCATCCGCGCATATTTACACGTGTCGGCGCGTTACATTATCGCGAAAATTGAACAAACGTGCGCAGCTGGATCGGTTACAATCGTAGTAACAAATAGCGTTATTTTGCGCTGTATTATAGCCCCGACCCGACCTGTGCAGCGGAAAAGAATAACAGCCCGCGTAATAACAGCGGGGGAAAAACGATGAAAAGAGGGAGCCCCGCTCGTTGTCTCTTTGATATTTTGTAATGGTCGAACATACTCGAGGTTATAAATCGTTAATTGAGAGAAATATACAGGAGGAGACGGTGCTATTACGGCCCTTGTAGATATTACGACCCTATATATTAATATCACCGCTGTTAGGTGACGAATTTTAATGATTACTTATGGCATCATTTGTTCAGCAGTCCGTCGTTGTGACTCTAATATGCCAATACACAATAGCCGGCATTTGTTATAACGCACATTTTTACATACGAACATTTCGAAACATTTTCAAAGCACATTCCGGCATTTAATTACACATATTTCCTCATTCCTTTTAAACTTGGGCGTATTATCACACGAATATACGTACACTTGAATATTTTGTTCGTTATTTAACATTCTACTACTTTTATCAACATTTTATTCCGCTGTGCATATTTCGAGTTATGCAAAGTTAAGCAATAGCATGGTATTATGCTAATTTGACCCTTCGCTGAAATAGATTTAATACGACCTCCTTCTCGAGGCCTCGACGGCCTCTTTCTTCTTGACGAATGTAATCGTTCAATTTTCAACTTAAAATATTGATTGTTGACAAAATTCTTGTTTTTTGTCACAAAACTAAATGTAAATCGGGGGTCACGATACCACTTTCTCCTCTATACGTTTATAAAATGTCGACTTACGTTCCATTTGTAAAGTAAACTGAAATGAGTATCGGCTCGGTTAAAGGGGGAGGAGGAGCTTACGCGCACTAGCTGTTCGAAGCACCGAGAACCCTTCGCGAGAGGGCCGCGTTTGCGATGACTCTCGAGGCGTGAAGCTATTCACGCGGAGACCTTTGAAATCACCTTTTCGCATGCGATACACTCTCGTTCTCACGCGTCGCTCTTTCTTTTTTCACGTTGCAGGGAGAAAAGGGTGCCAAAGGGGATCCTGGTCCGATGGGACTGCCCGTACGTATTTTCTCTCCAGATTACACACACATACACGCACACTCATACACACGTACAGCCTTAAGCTCTGAACATGGAACGCGCAGAGACAAACTATGCAAGAGGCGAACAGCGACTTGACCGACTGTTCTCGGTAAGCCCGGTCCGCGCGTCACTTTTCCAAAAACTTCCGGCGGATAAGCATTATTTACTCAATGCGTCAAAATTACACAGAATAACTCGAGCTGTTTCAATCAATCTCTGTAATAATTTATGACAAAAGACGATAAAAGACTGTAGAGATTAGAGAGTGCAATAAGATTCGCGATTTCGAATGTATTGTAGAGAAAAAATATCAAGTTGTAACCGAGATACACGCGGAAAAAAAGGCTCCATGTAGCACTAACGTTCAAAAGATATTCTGAGAGACGTCCCAGAGACATCCGGACGTCTCTGAGACGTCTATACGGGGTTTGATTGAAATTTATCTGACAAATTCACACAAGCCAAACGCGTTTTGCTCGAAGAGAACCAAATTCCCGGTTATGAGAGCTCTTTCCTTCCGCGCAAACTTGCGGAGAGTATCCGAGAGTAGCCAAGGGGCATCGTGATCAGAGAGCACTCATTCATCGTAGAACACCACAGAGCGGCACGGTGACACAATTAACAAATTGGACTTTATCGCCAGAACGAAGTACACGAGAAAGAGAGCGGGGAAAGTGAAAGAGAGAGAAAGGTGTTGTACGCGCGACGGCCACACACGCAAACACACGGCAGGTACACACGGTCCCCCTGCATGACGAGAGTATATGACAAATACAAACGAAAGCTTAGAGAGCTCTCTCTGCGTGTGCATCGTCCTGCTATAGAGAAGCTCGCGGGGAGCACCACCTGCGCGCGCGCGAGAGAGAGCGAGACCCCTGCGGAATCGCCAAACCACCAACCAACCAACCAACCAATCCCGACCAGTACCCGCACAGGCGGCGAGACATTGCTGATGGACGTCTGTCTATCTACTTTCAGGGCCCCATGGGACTGAGAGGAGAGTCCGGAAAGCCCGGGGATTCCGGGAAACCTGGCGCCATGGTAAGAACGCGGACCTCCCGCTCCTAACGTCATCGTTACTTGGCGTCGCCGCCGCCGCCGCCGCCGCGGAATTCGCTGATAAGCCGATAAAGTGCGTTTATTTGTCGCGCGCCTGCGAGCCCCAACGGCGCATCGTCGTTCCTCGCGCCTCTCGATTGCCTCTCGAGTACTTCCCCGCGTGTCTCTCCGCGTGTACATAAGGGACGAGGGCAGGAGGAGGAGCAGGGAGAGCGTGCGACGAGCGCGCGGTCATCATCGCCGGTCGGAGAGAGAGAGAGAGAGAAATCACTCGAGAGGCGAGAGCGGACGTGGGGACGGAGAGTTAGAGAGAGAGAGAGAGAGAGAGTCACAGCTTCCGTCGCACGACCGCGTATCGCTAATCGCGTTAGATCGATAGGCCGTAATCTCGAAGCGTGCCCGCGTTGAGATCCGGAGGATCGGCTGGGCCCTGCGAATCCACCCGTTTCCCCAAACGGACGACCACCGTCGACGACGTACTCGCCAGCGAGAGGGACAGAGAGAAATCACTGTAGCGTTCAACCGAACCCGTCGAGATACTTGACGCAAAGGCTTCTTCGCGCGCGAGACTCGAACGTCGTCGACGCTCCCCCGGACTCGACCGCTTCGACGCGGAGGAACGCCGGGGTCGCGCGCGATCATTTCCCTTACCGACGTCGGCAAGTTCTACGCGATACTGAGAGAAAACCTTTGAGGAGCAAAAAGCATTTATTCGACGGGCACCAATAGCATATTTTCACGCTGAGGAGAATGTTTGGTTTTTTTAATGAGAAAATGTGTATTTTCTTGAGTCTGTAGCTTCTCGTGAAAGCAATTGTTTTATTCTATTTATAAATAAGAGAGTTAAGATTGATGTATAAATAGGTTGTCAGTTCCCAGCGAAGAAATACTTTTTAGACTTCAGATATTTTTCTGCTCAGTTTGTGTATACATTGTCGTATTACAGTCGAATCTCGGAAGCGTGCGTGCGCACACCCCGTTCGCTCCGGGCGGGAGGGAGAGGGCAATGTGCTTGTCGACGCGTTCGAGGAGCAGTTTTCAACACCGATGATATATTTATTCGCGCGCGATCGCGTCTTCGTTGTTGCGAGGACGAAAAGGCTGCACTGATGTTTCCGGGAGCCTGCGAGCTTGTAATTTCGTCACGGCGTTCACACGGGCACGAAACAGCGATTCGATCGGAGGGAGAATCCTGCCGATGTTTAACGTTGAAGATTGCAGGAACGAAGGCGAGGAAGGAACGTCTTCCAGGGTGTTGAGGCTCGTCGGTGTCGGCCACGAGAGAAAATTCACGCCGCTTTGGCGTGTTGGCAAATAAAACTGTACACAGGGACGACTCGAGAGTGTATTTCGGGAGATTCTCTGATGAGAATCCTCGACGACGAGATTACCATCCCCGTCGCGTTCTTTCGATTTTTCGCACTTACGGCGGATCTAACGTAAAGGAAATTCAATTCGCGGGAATTTTGGTTCCCCACGAGAAAGATTCGCACAATCAGGACACTCGGAAATTATTACTGCCTGCGGAGAATATTCGGTTTCGTATATTCGTCGAAATACTTCTCCCCAAGTATTTTTCTCTCTTAAACCCTCGCTCTGTACATTCGATATATATATCGCGGAGCCGATTATTTCACGAAAGACTCGAACCGGCTTTTGTGAAACATTCAATAAAACGATTCGGTTGATTTAAAGAGACGAAAACAAAAAAGGAAAAGAAAAAAGGAGAGCAATTGGCGGACGTCACGCGCCTGTTTCAGTCGGATTCGCAAAATTTCGTTCGCGTCACTTTTCAAGTAAACTGCCCGCTCGGTCTGCGCACAACTCGCGCACGATCGCACGTCACGCATCACCATCCGTCCTCTTAACTTATTCTTACGCCGAGTTGGCCGATAGTCCAGCCGCACAAACCGAGAACAGGTTCTCGAGAACTCACAGACGCCTGCTCCGAGTTTGATGGACACAGGAAAGACAGACTCTGCCGTCCCGCTAAATGCTACATCGGCGTTTACGAGAAGACGCATGATTTCATTCTCACCGAACGAGTCATTAGTGTAGGCGCGCGAGAAGGAGGAAGGAAGACTCCTCGATCCTTTCTCGAGTAGAACGTGGACAGCGCTTTGGTTGTCGCTCTTTGCGATGTTCGTAGCGCACCGGAGCGGAGAGGATGTTACGTCATTTCTTGGTGGTGAATCTCGCGCGTACATGGTGCGAGCGAATCTCTCTCTTATCATCCGACGCTGCCGCGACGCTTCATCTTTGCGAACCGTCTTAATATTCTGTAAATTCGGCCGGGAGACTTAAACGGGGATGTGAAGGATCGAGAGAGAGAGAAAGAGAGAGAGAGATAGAGAGACGAGTATTGAAAATTAAGGGTTCCTTTTCGCGGTCGTCCGGCGTATCCCAGGCGTCGGGAATTAATTCGGCGGATCTTGAGAAACGATTTTCAGCCTGTTCCAGCTTGTCTGGCGAAATCCAGTTTTCCATTATGCCTCTTCTGGGAATAATTCACTCGGTTTGTACTTAGCGAAAGCTCGTTCTCGCGGCGGCATCGCCGGCGCCCTGATAATAACCCAGCCATTTATCACGATTCTTCTTCGTTCTCTACATTTCTTCATAGCATTCCAGCCGCATTTCACGAACCATCAAGAATTCCGTACAGCTACATGTCGGAGATATATTAATGAAAAGAGAGAGAGAGAGAGAGAGAAAACGGAAAGGAATAAAATCGAGATGAAAACGACGAAAGCGAGAAGTCGGGTGTGATTTTTTTTTTCGCGGTGCGCATCGAGTGCGAACGGCAGAGTTCACTGATTTCGACGTGTACCGCGAAGAAAAGGAAAGCGAATCTCATAATCGCTCGTTACTGGCGCCGATGCGGCTTCATTGGCGGAATCGGGAGCGTGTCAGTAACGCTGCGATCCAGCCGCGATCACGACGGGAGGATGAAAAGAGAGGCGGTCGGTTAATAATTAAATTCGCTAAAAGCTACAGAGCGGCTTTCCTCTAGTGCCCGCGCGTGGAACAGCTGGACGTGTTTTAAGTCATCGCTCAGCGCTTGCATAAAGCTTGCATAAAGAAGCAGCGGCAGCGGGCAAGGCGTGGCGGGATAGAGAGAGAGAGAGAGAGAGAGAAGGGGGAGGGGAAAAATAGGGAAATGTCGGCCCACCCACTTACATTCGACGAGACCTTTTACGAGAGTCGTGGGAAACGTTGGTATCGCGTGAACATCGGTCACAAGAAAATTTCACGTTCGCTCGAACAGTAGTAAAACGTTTCCGCGGCCGGCCGCTGCGAATAACAAGTAGGAGAATGCGCACACATTCTCTCTCTCTCTCTCTCTCTCTCTCTCTCTCTCTCGTCCCGTCTGGTTTCGGCTTTTCCGCCACGATCCCGTCGGGTGCACTACCGTGCTATTGATAGTTCGTGATACCTTCCCGCGGAACTTTGGCATAGCTCAGAAACACGGGTACGACACTTTTGTCGATAATAAAGTAGACGTTAACCGAGCATCCGCGCGGCCTGTAACGTGTGTGTAACGATAAACGTTCGCGATAGTCGGTAATCCTCGACACATCGTCAGCGTTGCTCGGCGACGAATGGAGTCAACCGATTCGCCGTAGGCTTTTTCTTCAAAGAGAATATTTTGCATACGCCGAAGAGAGAGGGAGAAAGAGAGAGAGAGAGAGAGAGAGAGAGAGTCCGGAAGAATTCCGATAGACACGGATTGCGATCAATCTTCGCGCCGAGAATAATCGATCCTCGCGATATACGCGAGGTAATTGCCAGTAGGTAAACTTGGCCTAAGAAGAATCTTCTTGTCCGCAGTACAACGAGATGCCGATAGCGAGGCATCTTCAAAGGCGATCGTAAGTTCTAGGGAAGTGCCGAAGATAATTAATAATCCCTTGCGAGAGGGATAGACGGATCGGTGTGCATCGGATCGCGTGGGAAATCGTCGAAATTGATCCTCTCGATCTCGAGACTCCGCCGAGCGAACGAAAAAGATTTACTTGTCGTGAGTGCGATCGACAAATCTCTCGTCAATAGCAGAGAAGAAGATACAAATTCTCAAGGTATAAATAACTTTTGCCAATAACAATTTTTCATCGTATTCGCCGTCTGTCTCGGGAGGAAACGGTCAACGGTCGAAAGAGCTTCCGACGTGTTCCGGTTTCGCAAACATTTTGAATCGCTCAGAGCGACTGCCGATCCGCTGCACACCACCATCGACGTCTAATCCGATCGTAATTGGAGGACGAAATAAGAAGGAGAATCACGAGAGAATGTACAGTGTAGAATAACGTCGACGGTGCGGCCGTGCACCGTCGGAGAATCCATGTATCGTAACGGAACTACGAACGACGCGCTAACACTTCGCTCTTGTGTGTACATCCCCGAATAAATTAACGCAGATAATTAAGATTAAGAAGATAACTGGACGAAAGAGGTGGAGAAAGGGAGAACGAGCGAGAATGGACGGAGCTCCGTCGAGGACCGGCGGCTCTATTTGGTGGCAATTCCTGTGCGTGTAAAGTGTACGACATCCACGTATATATATATACACACACATACACACACGAGCACACATCATATATGTATACAAATGCTCACATATACACAACACACATATACACATACGTACACGGTACATATATACATACACACGAACGAACGTGTGCGTGGCGGAGAAACGCAGTTCGCGCAGAGATGCGTAAGCCGAGATTATGTATATAAATGTACGGGGTGTTTCTCAATCCTCTATCGACGAATACTCGGGATTTCCTCGGTGCGCCAAAGCGGACCTCGTCTTTTTATTCGGTACTTCGAGCCGTTTGCAATTATCTCGTTATCTCTCGGTATCGGCGGATTATTAGGAGTTCGGTACATGAGAACGCCCGTAATTATCGATCCTGCGAGACCAGGAGGGATTATCTACGGTCATTTAAATGCCGAGCCGGTACCGGCGGTAATGAGATCTTCAACGCCGAAAGTATCCGTATTCGAGCGGGACGTTCGTCCTCGGCGTTTCGGGACAATCCCAACGGTTTGTTGGTGAGAAACCGTCGGGAGCGCCCTGTATAGCCATTTGTATGTGTATGTCTCTGTAAATGTAAGTATATAAGGAATGCATACATACGCACGCGCACTTGCGTATCGTATGCGGCTATATACACACAGGCTGTCACGCCGTATCGGACGCCCCTCCCCCCTCCCTTCCCGCCGCGGATTTAGATTCGCAAGTTTAGAATCGACTCTTCCTCCCCTCTTTTTTTCTTTTTTTTTTAATCCTCCTCTTCTCAAGGAAGATTCGACGGAACGTAATTACAGGAAGTTTCTCGACATCGAAAAGATTAAAAGGTTTCTTTCCTGAATTATATAACTTTAAGAGTGTAAATAGCAACGGTTGATTTCTCAATTAATTTAAAATGGGCTTTACCTTCACGAAAATGTAATTTAAGATTTTAATCGCCGGGATATTTGGCGAGCCGAGGAGTCTTCAAATATTCGCTGAGCAAAGATCGACTCCGGAGAGTTTGTAAGTCCATAACCGGATAGAGAAAGAGAGAGAGAGAGAGAGAGAGAGAGAGATATATATGATTGGTAGTCGTAGGATATTCTGTGTGTATATATATATATGTATGTAGTATATATATATACACACGCACGCGCGCACACACATACCGAGTGCCGCGCTCGCGCGTGTGTGCGTGCGTGCGCGCGCGCGTTAATTGTTAAGGCGGCGCTCCTCTTAAGCCGATCAACCGGCGACCTAATTGCGTATGTGAATACTGACTCTAACAGTTTTGTTTTACATTGTCCCGATTAATAAACAGAATGTGCATGTGCCTGTGTCCTTTGCTTCTAAAACGCCTACCAGATTAATGCTTCTCACGATTAAGTCTCACCCCAGTAACAATTATTCGCTTTGCATTTTGCTCCGACTGCGATCCGGCTGCCCGGACGACAACAACAACAACGACTCGCTCGCTCACTTTTACGTTCTTTTCTGTCTCTCTCTGTATTTGCATCTGTCGCAAGTTATCACGCCGCCGTTGCAGGCGGTTAAGAAAACGATGATTAAGACGGAAGAACGAAAGAGAGGAAGGGAAACAGAGATGGAAGAAAAAAAAAAGAGACGAAAACCAAAAATTAACACGTGTTAATTTGCTGCGACCACGACGGTGACGCGTGTTAATCGTCGGCCCGTCCGGCCGACGATTAATCTTGCCGCCTTAGAAGTAAAATCGAAAGAAAGCAGGAATGAGTGAATGAACGAACGAACACGAGGAGAGACGCGGCAAGCGTCGAGGTGCTTCCCTTCGGTACGAAAAATGCGCTCGTTCCTTTTTCATGATTTTTTTTTCTCTCTCAACTTTGCTCAAGCTCCTCTGCACTGCCTTCCACGACGCCGCCCCGCCCTCGATTGTCAGTCTGCTTCGCTCTCATATTAATTTCGATAATACGAGCGGATACGGGCGAGATACCTCGCAAAGATGAGCTCAGTGGTCGAAGCGTTAAGAGGGAGGGAAGAGAGAGAGAGAGAGAGAGAGAGAGAGAGAGAGAGAGAGAGAGAGAAGGAAAACGGTAAACGAAAAAGCCAAACGAATCCGATTTCATTACACGCGCCGAGTTTCGCGGCGGCCTAGCGAGAGGAGGGGTGTTTGCACACCCGTTAGGCTAAAAGTAACTCGAAACGTCCTCTCTATTTAGAAATGACATATAAATCCGTTGTGCGCCTCAAATATTTATAGAGGACGGCGGGATAACACCAGCGATTGTAACGAGTACGGAATTCGATAGAACGGAATTTCATTACGACGCGAATCGATCGGATCCCCGGCCAATATCTGCGCGCGCGTGGCGCAACGAAATTTCGTGGCGTAACTTAATTTGAAAATCCGCCGAAGAGAGTTTCGGAACTCTTGGGCTGGTGTGCGCGGGCACGAATCGCGTCGGGGCTGTTTATGTATGCGAGGTAGACACGCGCGCGTGTGCAAACATTCTTCCTGACGGCGGCCGCTGTCATCATCCATGACGTATCATTGTCGAAAATCAGGCCGTGAAAAAACGTGAAAACATTGCCGCGCGCGAATCGACGGACAAACGAGAACGATCCTGGCACACTCGAGGGCGCTACGACGGTGTTTGTGTATGTGTGTGTTTAATTAAAGGGCGTCTCTAACAAAGATTCCCCTCGTGGCATATAGTTTTAAGTCGCTGTCGGCAATATTACGCTCGATATATATCGATGGGCTTCGCCGTATCTGACGAGGTTTCCTCTACCTTTCAGGGACCACCAGGATTAGACGGCATGAAGGTGAGCGATCCACGGGATGACCCCGTTTTCATTATAGATTGCCTCCTTATCTGGACGCGCTATTTCCGCTATCTCCGCACCTCGTTCGTCGCGATTCCGAAATAAGCGCCGATTAAATCGAGAGTAGTAGAACGAGGGAGAAAAGAAAAAAAAGAAAGAAATAGAAAATCGCGCGCGAGCGGTTCTCCGGCGTACGACGACGTCCGACGATGTGCCGATGTCCGTTAAGTTTCTTCGTACTTTCAGGGTGCGCAGGGCGAGCCAGGAACGAAGGGAGAGAGAGGAGATCCGGGATTGCCTGTAAGTCCAATACGTTTTATCAAGTATTTACGCCGTCCCGCTCGTCCAACTCGCGATACCGTCCGCGCCGTGTTCATGTTTATCCGCGAGAACGATATCTCGAATTTTATCGGTATTGTCCCGAGGTCAATCCCGTTCTCTCAGTCTCGGGGAAATAACGTCTCGGTTTAGCGGTCGCCTCCGCTTACACACCGCGGCGAAGCTTCAAAACGGATATCTCCGAGTTCTCGGGTCTCACGTTCAAAGAGTTGATCTTTCTTTAATGAGAAGTATATCCACACTCGTCGTCGATTCTCGGTAACAGACTCTTCTCTTGACGAATAAATAAATAAATGAATAAAAAGTGGAGGTAAAATATTCCTGTCGCGGAGCGAAAAGTTTCGCGCGAGCGAAGGCGCAAGCCAAGTTTCGCGAAAATTTCGCCTCCCTAGAGAAAAGCTTTATGTTACAAACCGAGCCCAAGCAAGTTTTTGTGTTGTTTTAACAAGAAAAATTAATAAGATGAAATAAAAAGCGACATTTCTGTATCACAAGATTGATGTGATCAAGCGAGCGCAAATTTCTACGTTTTGCGAATTGTCACTCGATTATTAACAAAGTTATTGTACAAAATATATATAGAGAACTATAATACTGCTTTCTCTTCTATTATTATTATTATTATTATTATTATTATATTTGTATACTTCTCTTAACATGTTCCTCATGTTAAAGCAACATAAAAAAAGTTTTTAGATGTGCCGTTTGTAAAACAAGATCTGTGTATTTTTCGCGCGATTTGATTGAAATTTTAATTGTGCGCCACCGATCGTGATCTCTTTCGACTTCGCTTCTCGTCTCGAATTCTCGCTTCTACGCGATCATCGTGCAGACGATGCTGAAAACGCCCGGCGGAATCAAATCGCGCTCCCGAGCGACGCTCGCTCGACGACGAGTCGACCCGCTGACTCGTTTGCGCCGCCGTCGAGAGACGCGCTAACGAGTCGATCTGTGTTTGTCCCCAGGGTACCGACGGGATTCCCGGCGCGGAGGTACAGTTGGCTTTCGATTATCGCTCGTCCTCCGGCGCGACTGTGACACGGTCTGACACGGTCTGACCAGCCCGGGGTAACGACGACACATCTGCCTGATCTACCCCGGGGAAACGAAAAAAAAAAGAAAAAAAGAAAAGAGCAGACAAAAAAGAACAAAAAGCAGAACAAATGAAAAAGCTGGCACACCCTTTTCCTTCGTCCGATTTCAAAGAGAACGGGAGCGTCTTGCGCCTTTCTCCCTCTTTCGTTCGGGATTCCATTCTTCCGTTGTCGACGCGCCCGTCTCGCGATAAATTGCACCCTAGCGGAAGGAAAGATGCCTCGGATCTCGGGACGCGTCAATCGCGCATTTTTTTCAACATCTAACGGGCTCCGGCGGGTGTTCCAGGTGTCAACGTCTTGAACGTCTCTCGCACACGGGAAGGAAATACTGTTGTATCGATAGAATCGGTCAACAGCGTCATAAATGTAGCAAATCTTATTGACTCGACCAACAATATTATCGAAACAAATACGCCAGTTGTCAAAACAATGTATGATGTGTTCGCTTCGATGATATCGCCAGCGAATCGAGGAGATTTTACTCCTATTAAAGCACTGTTGATTAATTTTATTGATATACGGGGAAAAAAAAGTCTTAAATAAATGGTAGGTATTCTCACATGTAAGCAAGAATATTACAATATTATTGCTTATATATGAGAATATCTGTCATTGATTTAAAACTACTTTTTTTTCTGTGTACACACAAGAGTTTTTCCCCGTGTAGCTTTTATTTTCCTCTTCTCTCTCTTTGAGCTATATCAGTAACGACGCAAAAACTAATAAACACGCTTAATTACGTGGACAACTTCATCCGCGATATTACTACGTATTTTATCGCCCAAGAAACGGCGGTTATCGCGCCGTTTTTCGCACTACGTGCGCCCACAATGCCGCGTATTATTAGGCGTCCGTGGTAATTGTTGACCGACCTCGTGAGATTCCCGTGCGCGTAACTTCTTCGGCGCATAATCAAGTTAGAGGGTCGCCCGATCAAAATTTATGGCCGAATTATATAACGGAGGGGGAAACGCGCAACTCCATCGTCCTTCTCTCTGGAGTGTCCGGAAGGATGCTCGAGCGCGGCGCTCGTGTGACCGCTCGATGTGCCGTCTCGATGCGAGAGCGTGCATAAACGAAACGACTCTCGTCCTCTCGAATACGAACGAGATAAAGGTGCGTCTGAGGGCAGACGGTAGCTTTCACCTCCGAACATACGATAACTATATTTCGAAGTGCGATATTTCCCTCTTGCCCGAGAGACCGTGACGACCGTTGTTCCTGCTTCTCTCTTTTTCGAAGCAATGAAGTATAAACGCGCGGAGACAATATTATCCAGCTTTTCTCCCGTGTGTATACATTTTTTTTCAATTTTATTTCATGTTCTCCGGTAGAATGTACAGGAATAGACTGTCAGCGGAGTTTATCTTCCTATGAAACATGGTAAATTTTTTAACGGTACATTTTAGTTCTTGAAATATAAATCGAGCACATATGAGATGGAAGTATGATGAATGAAGGTGGAGTGTCGACACGCGTGTGTGTCACAAAATTCAACAGTAATCTATGAAATTCCATGGCAATTTTCGTTATAAAATTCTCCCCGTTTCGTCCGCAGGTGAGAAGCGCGAGGATATTCCTCCGACGACCAGTGTCCTCTTATTTGCCGCGCGTATTTAAGCGTGCGCGCAAGTATGCACGGCAAATAACGCGCTAATATCGGGGAAACTGGGCGCTATTAATGTACTAACGGGTTCTCCAAGCCGTGCCACGTGTAATGTTCCAAAAATGCTAATGCAATTAATTTAGCTCCGGCCCTCTGCGCGTAACATCGTCCCGAAAATCGGACCGAATTTTTCATTGCGGTTTCGAGGCGGGAGAGGGGCCGAGAAGCAGAGAGAGAGAGAGAGAGAGAGAGAAAGAGAGAGAAATCCTCTCTCCCGTTTCGCGTCGGCATCGGAAATTCCCGGTTTATTGACATCTCGTATGTTCGGAGGAGGCAAGAGCAATAACCAAGTGATCCACTTGAAATGCCTCACCGGTGTTCCGGTGCTGCGAATCGATAGCCCCCTCGCGGCCGTCGGTTCTCGACGGAAGAGAGAAAGAGAGAGAAAGAGAGAAAGAGAGTGAGTGCTGATCGATACACGTGGTCACACGGCGCCTTTCGAGCCCCCTTTCGTGGAAACGCTTTTCTGGAACGACCGTGCGTCCCGCGCGCGTAAACGACGGCCAACCAACCGTTTACCGAATAAATGCCTTTTGACGTACCAATTCCAGGGACCGAAGGGAGAGAAAGGTGCCAAAGGCGAATCTGTGAGTATTGACTTAATTCGAGTATACGTTTCCGACTCGCCCGCTACGAGGCTACGCCGCGACGGTCGAGAGAGAGAGACGCGCGATACACCCGTGTGCCCGACTCTCTATTTTTTTTCTCTCCTTACGCGGGGATGCGAAAGCGAAAAATCAGAGAGAACGAGGAAAAGGTAAAAGAAGAACGCGTCGCGCGAATCGCGGTCCTGCGAGTGCCTTGCGGGGATTGTTTGCCGAACGGTAACCGATGGAGCGTCGTTAGATACACGGGCGCCTCTCCCCCCCCGGTGCGCTTCCTAATGGATAATCGCACGTATATCGGCCTGGTGATCCTGGCGGAAGGAATCCTCTCTTCCCTCCCGCGGACACACCGGATCCTCTTGCCCACGAGACGCATTAGTCGATTAGTTTACCTTACAGCAAAGTCATCGGTCCGAAACGTCGGACTGACGACATGGAAGCGAGATTAATTACGCTGTTAGCTCTGTAACATTTAGGTTTCGCTTGGTTGGCTTAATTGGGACGTCATTAAGCGGCGCATTATCTTTCAGTGGAGAAATGAGTCGACAGGGCGCAATACGCGTACGTCCAGCCGTTCTCTCTCCCTCTCTCTCTCTCTTCCTCTCTCTCTTTGCCGGTGAGGGAGAGCCGATCTACATCTCATTTCGCGCTTCTTTGTTCCCCCGCGAAATTTCCGATGTCCAGTTCAACTCGGGGCTGTTAAGCAACCGAATCTCTCTTGCATACTCACATACAAACACACGTGCGCGTGTACACTGCTCTCGCATCGCGCGGTACGTTCGTCCTTTCGCATCCCCGTATTTATCTCTTATTCACGACAATTGCTGCAAGCACGCCGGGGAATCCTCCGTGCTACCGCCGTCGTCTCCGTCGCCGTCATCGTCGTCGTCGTCGTCCTCATCGTCGTCATCGTTTACGACGAGGAAACTGCGAGATCTCACAGAGCGACAAGCTACAAGGTCACGAAAAATAGCGGAGGAAGCTCTAGTGCGGGGATGACACGATGAGGGGGGATATTCCGTACAACGTATCTCCTCTCTCTCGCACACACATATACGTACATGCACACGCCTATGTCCCCAACCAAAAGTTCCACAGCACGGTTCCTCGCGAGACTAACACACTTCGCGCGTACATACGTGTCTGTATACTGTATATATATGTATATACATGTATATATATGCTGCCACCACCGTTCCGTGAAAGCGTATAGTCACGAGGCGCGAATAATGTTAGTGGAGACATTAGACTCGCTCGCGCTCGAGGAACGAAGAGCGGCAACGAGAGTGTCGGTCGCGTGTTCTCGCGCGGGAATCGCCTGAAAATCGCTTTGACGACGAATATGGCGAATATTCATGATGATGATGATGATGATAACGATGATCCGAGGACCGTCTCGGGAGGATCGCGCCGCCGTGGGAGGCCACGGTCGGCCGAGACAATTATCGCGGCGATTTTTCAGCCGCGACGGACTCTCGTTCACCCTTCGCGTTCGCCGAGCCGTACTGTGTGCACCGATCGATCGAAAGTACTATAATGCATAATCCAACAATATTGTGCCTGGCCTTACTTGCACGTCGCGAAAAGCCATCGGGGCGTCCGTGTTAACAGAGGGATGATGCATTTCGCGTGTGCGCGCAGGGCCCGCCGGGTAAACGCGGCAGAAAGGGTGACAAGGGCAACAAAGGAGACCAGGGTGTTCCAGGACTGGACGCGCCGTGTCCGCTGGGACCAGACGGACTTCCCTTACCAGGCTGCGGCTGGAGACCACCGCAGGTAACCCCGATAGTGCATTCGGAGTTTTCGAGGGGAAGCAGAAGTTACAGCGTGCATATGCATATTACATTGAAACGGGGGGGAGGGAGTGTGAAGAGGTTACGCCGCGAGTCTTTCGCGTGGATGCGCGGATTCACGGATTGTAACTGTGGTTTATCGGATTTTGGATCAATTGGACAAGATTAGGGTCTTTCGCACCAACTCCGGTTAATGTGATCAGATGATTAACTCAACGGAATTGGCCAATCGCATTGATCAACTAATTGGCTAATGCGATTGGTCAATTTCGCTGTATTAGAGCCAGTTTCACAACCACTGATTAACTTAACCGACCGGTTGAGTGTCAACCGTAATTGGTTATTTCTGGCCAATTATGCTTAACGACAAATGCGATTTGCCAATTTCAATGGCATAATCAGTGCATTAAGTTAACCGGGGGTTATGAAACCTGACATTTAATCGACTGATTACATTAACCAGAAATTAGTGAAAGTCACCTTTAAGCTCGGTCTTCATTTTTTGGTGGTTAACTTGTGGCTCAGACTTATGTGTATATGTATGATGATAATGTAAAAATTATGTTTTTCTATCTATGGTTAATCATTAAACTTTAAAAATCACCACTTGTTATAAAAACTTCAGTTTAATAATTAATCCTGAATAGAAAATTTTTGCATTATCATCAGATTAAATCTAACACAAGTTAACCAGAAAATAAAAAACCAGGCCTTAAAATTTCCTTTCGCGGTTGGAAAGACGGGAAAAACAAACACAAGAGTGCTGTCGGACGATCGTTAATCATTTTGCGGTGTAACAAATAAAGAATGCGAGGATACTTAGTGAACATTTTGCGGAGGTATTCTCCATTCATCGATATAAATCGTCTCGACTTTTTTTTTTTTTTTTACAAAAGTTATCTTTATAAGATAAGCAAAGCGTATAGCAACTCTTCCTCGCAATTTATCACGAGGTTCTCCGATGAGAATAACGTGATATTACGTAATGTGCCAAAATGGGGTGAGAGGGGGAATAGCCGGGGCACGCTTGGATTCTCGTGTGTGCTTAGCAGGACATCACAAGCACGTCCTCGCCGGCGATCGAGGGTCCCGAGCCTGCGGAGACGGATTACGAGGAGCCGGAGGATGAATACGACGACTACGCGGACCAAAACGGGAACCTAGCCGAGCAATAATGCTCGTTTTTGTGCGCTGCCCTAATCACTACCGACAACTACCACCACATCACCACCACCACCACCACTACCGCCACCCTCATCACTCGTCTCACCCCATTCTCCCAAACTAACGTGGTCCCGGTAATTGCAATACCCCGTAGTATAATACAAACTAACTAATTGATCGCATGCCATCGAGGATCGATGATCGATTGAGTCCCGCTTGCTGGCTTGTTCGCTGCTTCTCCACGTGAAACCTTGTCTTTTTGCTATTACAGACCTGCCTCCCTCTACCTTTGCTGGCAATCGCAAATTTTTCGTTTGCAATAATTGCACTTAGCTCTTTACAATCTTGTGTCGCATCTACCTTAACATCGCGTTTCATTCCAGCCGGTTGTAAACTTATTTTCTATATATTAATACTCTATGTACTCAATATAAATGTTGTAAACGTTGTTGCATGAATTGAGTACTGAAATTGGAGGTAAATGCACACGATATTTGCGACGCAACTTTCTATTCTATGAACTGGCTGGAAAGAAACGTCGAAGATAACTCAGGTCGCAAAAGATGTTTAATATTAAAAAAATAGATTGGTTTAACTAAAAACTAAGTTTGGTTTCTTAAGAAAAAAATTTTCTTCGTAAGAACCAGAAAGGATGTTTCAACAAAAACGCCTTTCGTTCGGTTCGTTCAATATCATGTTAAAGAGATTCGCTCATTAAATGCCGTATTTTCAACAGCGCATCGAAGAGGTCTTCCCATAAATTTACTATTGATCAAGCAAAATTATGTTCCTATACATTTACTTCATTACTTAATAAATGTCAATTTGAAACGAAATTAACGTAAATATATATATATACAATATTATAAATACAGAAATATCATTTATATTATTTTTTATTAATGCTATGCATCAGTTGATTGAATAAAGATGCACAATTAATGAAAAGAGATATATAAATATTTAAATATATGTATGTATATATTTCGAATATTATTATAAATTATAAACTTTACACCACTATATTTTTGAACCGAAATGGTCAATAATTCTGAAAATTCTCTACAATATCCGTTTAATCCGTTTAATATTAATCTTTAATATCACGATAGTTTTTATATTTCTATCTTATACACAAATGTGTCTAATTAGAATAAATATGTTGTATCATGAAGTTTCTACATATCCTTGGATATAAATTTATAATCAAATATCTCGGAAACGATAAGATAAAGATTATTAAAATTCCTGTTACGCATTGTCAGTTCGATTAATTTATCATGTGTATATTATAGTTTTATATTTGGTCAAATGCTCGAATCTCCTTAATTGAACCAATCTTTTCCCCCATGCGTGTATTCGTATTTGTAGTTGAACATTGACATTTCGGGTCTCTAATCGTAAGACGTAGAAATGAGTTATCCGAAGAGTTGCAAGGTGCATGTAAATTTTTACCTTCACTAAGTATCTTCTATTTTTTTCTACAACGCGTCAGATCGATTGGGAAATTTCGGAGACGACGGGAATGCAGCCTCGGGAAACACCACCACGATGAGAAAAGAGCCCAACAAGACTTATTATTGCTGTGTGTGCTATCTCGCTCACTTATCTACCCCCTCGCACGTTTGTGCTCACCTTCTTCCTCCACGCACCGACCTCTCCCTGAGCTAGCTAGCGAGCTGTCGAAGACGTTCCCGCGACACGAAATCTAGTGCGGCTTCTCTGCGTATGTTGTACCCATTGGACGCACCGAGACGATACCGTCGGGAATAGATGATTTAAGCTTGCCTGTGAACTCGCGAGCACGATCTCGTTCATATACAAAACGATCGATGACGCGTTCCGTTCTCTTTCGCAGCCGAGGAGCAACATCCTGAGCAGATGGCTGGAGGAAGAGGAGGAGGAAGAGGAGGAAGCGGCGGGCGACGAGCGGCAGTGATGTTGCAAGGACAATAGCGCATTTTTCATAAGGACTTCTATATACCCTCCCGTTCCCGTCTCGTCACGACGCAAACGACCGCGTTAACGAAAGAGAAAGCAAAAAAAAAATATATATATATATATACATGCCAAAAAGTAATCATCTTGCCATCGAGTGTTGTAAATATGTGTACTTACAGTGTCTAGCGTCCGCAGTGCGTGTACATAAGTAATTAGAGCTTACTGCGTTCATTTACGATCGTAGCCGGCGATGTATCGTCATACAGTTTTACCTGCAAACGTCACACACGAGTATACGGCGATCGATCGGCGATCAATCCACACTTCCGGTTCAAAGTGCGCGACAACTCGCTTCCCCTCGCTCGGAAGAAAGAGTAAAGAGAGAGAGAGAGAGAGAGAGAGAGAG